TGCCACTAACCCCAAGAATGGCAACGTTATTAAGCTCGATCCCGCGAAGCGGGCTCTGACTGCTGGAGTTCGCGGGTCTTAGCTTCATTCAGACTGTTCTGATGTAAAGGCGGGTCCCTTTAAGAAGGTTAACCTCTATGGCCTTTCTAAGGTCAGTGGGTCTTTCGGGATCATCAAAAACCTCGTTGAATGATCCTGGTTGTTGGTAAGCCCACCTCGCATGTCGCAAAGAAGCTGAAGGGCTGCCGGCCAGTCATGGGCCTCAGTGCCAGCGAGCACCTATGTGCTTTGACTTTTCTATACAGCGGGATCGAGCAGGTGTTCAAGAACTCCCACGAACCCAAAGACCCTGAAACTTTGAACTTAAACATGAAACCCTCATCTATCAATTCCTGAAAGACCCCCATCCCAAACTCCTACACCTCTAAACCTCACACAAAGGCCGTTGAAACCGAACACGAAGCCCCGACTCGACTCTTAACCGCAGGCCGGAAGACTCAAACCTGAATCCCGAACCCAATGAGAATTAATCTAACCTTAGGTGAAGTAATCCTCAATTCAACATTTGTGCAAGCACCAAGAATTAGGACAATTACCATCAGAATACACCAAAAAAGTAGCCGTAGTTGGCCGAAGCCCTACATCTTCCCCTGACAAAGTCCCAAACAACCGCTAAACTTAAGAACCATGACCGTACACCCAAAACAAGAATGGAGCCCAAGTCCTACCAAGTCTTACAGCCAAATCGGCTAATCGGGTGTGGGTTTTAGGATTAAGATGTCGTCTAGGGCGCCCATCTTAGGGAATCAGGGCCAATAGTAAGCAATTGTGCTAACCACGAGGTTTTGAGCAGGACACCACTGATTGGGCCAATGACTACCCCAAGACTTCAAGAACAGCTCAACAACTTCCACGCCCTATGACTCCAAGTAAAGCAACCAGCCCCAAAGCCCTTAAGTGGTCAGAGTTCTGCTCAACGCGCAAAACGCACGACACGCCCTCGGCATGTCGAAATCCAAAAGCTTCGCAGCGCTCCACTTCTAAAGCCCGGAAGTCACTGAACAACTAAGTTGTTTACAAGTCTTGTAAGCCTTGACCCTACACCCTCTACAACACGAAGTGGCGGACGGGGGTTCAGGGTTTAGGGCCGGCAATCACCCCAGCTTGAAGAATCGCTTCATCATCAGAGCAACTTCAAGGGTCCCTGAGTAGTTGGAGAATCAAGCAATATTTTTTCAAACAAAGACACGCCTGCGTGTGTATACATACATACTATTTCTCATAAACATGAGAGTTATTTACCAACTATTCACGCCGCTGTATTGAACACCCTCCCTGACCCTAAACCTGAAACCCAACAGTACGGACCCTGACCTCTCTCCTACATATTCTACATCCTTGCCCTGGTCCGCCAAGCTCCAGGGATCAACTTAAGGAATACCTCGATTAAGTAGGGAGTCAAGTTCAAATCCCCCCAGTCCCTTCGTTAAGGCATGTTTAAAACTTAAGCGCCTTTGGAAGCATAAGTACAACTAATATGTTCAAGATTCTCGAGTTTTATTCTTACAACAAAATACAGAATCCATAACTCCCACACGAGCACTGAAGAAAAGCCTCAGAATCTGTCTGAGGATCCTGGCGCGGCCGCACGCGCCGATGGCTGCTGAGTATGTGGGCGGCACTCGGGAGATCCCGTTCTCTTCCTGACGTAGTGACTGAGTATCCTGACAGCACGATTATCTGTATAATACTAGTAATACTGGCAAGTATTGAGGCAGTAGTGCAGTAGGATTTCGTATAGTGTTTGGCCAGCTTAGACCCAAACATTGAACAGGCTGCATTCGAAGCCGCGCAACACCCGTTGTGGCGGGAGCACGCCTCTGGAGGTGGAACCCCACGGGACTGCGCCCGAAACACCATTTTGTCAATGGGAAACACGAGTCTCTGCCCAAAACATAGACGGCACTGTGGCGGGACCAGGACAGAACGGCGGCGATTCCGAGACCGCACCGGGAAGCCCCGGCGAGGCACCTAGTGTGGCACTGTTAAGGCCACAATGAGCACAGTAACTCCCTTAGTCGAATATGAACGCATCACAGCCGAACTGCCGGGCGGTGCGCCCAGCAGTGTTGCCACGCTGTCTAGACTAGCAATAATTTTTACTACTCTATACATACCCTGCGAATAGCCGTGACCCCTGAACCCTAAATCCTGCTACCCAAAAACATCCAAAAACCCAAACACATCGGCCCTCGCAGCCTAGCCAGGAGGCCTAAACCCCGGATGTTTTGCACACTAAACCCCCACAGTTGGCGCACCATGGCTGTGAGGAGACGGTAAACGGCTCTGGACGTCTGCGCGCCTCGGGGGCATCCAGGGATCGGAGCTCTTCCCTTTGAAGCTTTCGAAATGGGGTTTTGTCAGGGCTTCATACGAAAATATACTTAGAGACGAGCATGGTTGAAGAATCAGAAGCTTACAACAGAGGTTATGTAGTGTTGCTCCAGGATTTTAGGGCTTACGGATTTAGGGTCTTTGTTGTTGAATTCTTCGGGCGGTCGGGTTTTGGTGGTTTGGCCTCAATCTGAAGGTCGAAAATACGGCTTTGGGGTCCAGCTGCAATACCATACATGTCTATTTGGGGCGATGTTGAGTCGCATAGATGATTAGAGCTCAGGACTTGGGGCCTGCAGCTTAGGGCTTCGCGCTGACAGTTGCTAGGTGGGTTGGCTCTCAACTGAACTGAAGCCATAAGTCTACACTGTTCATGTTTGTGAGATGGTAAACCGAGCTATGTAGCCCCAAACCCTGAACCTTGAACGGCGCTTTGCAACACCATCCTAGGAGAAGCGATTCTATGGTTAGGGCCGTATGGAGGAACAGTAATCAAGCAAGAAAGTGGGAGGGAGAATTTAGGGTCAGCTGTGGATGGGTGTTGTGCCACGTGTGGCAGAATGTCGGCCGTTTTAAACGGCTTACATATTCACCGACGTAGGGTGTAGGGTCGAGGGTCGAAAGGCAAGAACTTTCGGTTCAACGCCTCGAAACGTGATGTGTTGTCCTGAGGCAGACACGGAGAATCGCGGCATTGAACAGCCAAACACCCATGCTGCCATCTTCGCTGCAGCTGAGTACCTCTAGCGACTCGAAACGTTCAGGGTTCAGGATTAGGATTTAGGGTAAACTCTGACAAGGCCACTTCTGCAGATAATCCTTGCAGGGCTTGTGCTCTGCATGAAGACCCGCATGCGTGTGCCTTACAGGTCTCATCCCAAAACCTGGACCTAGCTCCGAATGCTCCGAAATTGCGGCAGTCAGCCTGCAAAGATCAAGTTCTAAGCAATCCCCTGAACCATCAGTCCATCGACTACAGCCATAAACTGCGTGGGCGCACTTCATCGATAATTCCGTGCAGTGATTCCTCTGCTGTTGAGCGGGTCGAGTCTGCCAAGAAGGCTGTAGTTCCTCAAGACAACACGAAACTATATTTGGGGGTTCCGGATTCAGGGTCTAGGGTTGGGCCTCAGAGGTCTGCGTTTGGATCTCGGGTCTTTGATTTGAGGTTGGGTCTGCAGTTTAAGGTTCAAGGTTCCCTCTATAGTATGCAGGGCTTCGTCCAAGCCTCAAGTTGTTGCAGCATTCCAACAGAATTCCAACATGGCAATCAGACATAAGCTGTATTTCCGTTCGGGAGCAGGCCCACCCGTGCCATGCTATGATGAGCTTATCTCTTCCAGGATTTACAACCGTGCTATTTGTCCAGCGGCATGATTAATTCCCGACTCGCTTTCAAGTTAAAAACGGCACCTGCAATTTCCAGCGCAGCGGCACGCAGCGACTCGCGCTCTGGGTTCAATCCTCAGTATGCTTCGTAGAGAGCCCAATCTACCAACGAAGTAAGTGCACATCGACGAATCGCTTGACTCAGCATCTAGTCGTACGTCGTACATGCGCAGATGCACTCATGCATGCTTGTGCGTCTGGTTGACTCCATGCGTATGCCTTGTTTATGTACATGCACGAATGAACGTCTAAGTATGTGTGTGTGTGTGTCGTCTTGTACTTCTCTGTGTATCAGCTTAATGCGACTACCAAAAATGCCTTGGTCTCATCGTGCAAAGCTGAGAACCAATATCACGGGAGCCTGACAATGTCTGTGCTCGTTTGCTGCAGGCTCGCGGGCTGAGGGCGTAGGCATCAACAACTGGACTCGAACCCGAGTGCGAAACTATCCTGGCATCCAATTATCTGTGTGTATGTATGTAAATATGTACGTATGATGCGTGGATATATGTAAATATATATATATATATATATATATATATGTATGTGTAGATATGCAAAAATCATACAGCTAGATAGATGGATGGATGGATGGATGGATGGATGGATGGAGGGAGGGAGGGAGGGAGGGATGTTTTGTTTAGATAGATGGACAGATAGGTAGGTAGATAGACAGACAGATAAGACGGTGTATAATAGTATATGCAAAAACAGCGATAAGGCTGAATCAGGTCCTAGGCTCATCGGTGTCCTCGGGTCCTTAGGGGTAGCATCTTCAGGGTATGGGTATCACATGCATGGCGAATCCTGCGTCCAATGTGGCCCGGGCTTGGAGTTTGTGTTTCAGGCGCCAGGGGCAGAGGTACAGTCGGAAGGAGCCTTGAATTGAACCGCACACCCCATCTTGCGTCACAAGATCCCGAGTTCAGCCGGCAGGTGACCCCTAAACCCTGGCGCCCAAACCTCAACCTGCTTGGTTTCCAGCGTCTGCTCCAAAGCTCCCGAAGCCTCAGTCGCGTGCTAGGACTGGCTGGGTTTGCCGGACCGCATGACCATGTCCGATTGCACTTCTAGTAACTCCAAGCGCACATCGTCTTGCGTATGTAGGTCAGGGACTGCCCTCAACCCTAAGCCCTGAAGCACTCAACCGTAGACCCTCAGCTGTAAACCACTCGCCCATGCCAAAAGACCATACTTGGGCTGAGCCCGGAGCATTGCTAGCGCTCCACGCCCATTCGCGAAGCCCTCATCAGAAACACCTCTGGGTTGGTGGGATTTGGTTTGGTAGTTTAGGGGGGGGGCTTGGGGTTTGAAGTGACTCTCGGCCTATTGGCTGCACGTACCGTGGAAGGGATGTTGCCGCCGAAAGTTCTGTGTCTGAGTTTGTAGCAGGAGGTCAGTGAGGAACCTTGCTGTTCGTGTGAGAGGGTGTTGTCGAATTTACTCTGGCGCAGTAGCTGCTGAACTGGAAAGAGACACGTTACCTGTTTTGCTGAGGAACGACCGGTTGTCAGATGCACCCTCATCTCCTGCTCCGGTACGAGTTGCACGCTGCATGCTTTGCGAAGCCTCCTTGGCTTCAGAGACATTATATCGATTTCTAGACTCAAAGAAACATGAGCACCGAGATGATGGACTGAGCCCCGGGTCATAGCGGAGCCTACTCAACCCTAGACCCTGCAACCCCGAAGCCCTAAGCACCTTCCTTAATCCTCAATTCCTAAAGCCGCAGCTCCCAACAAATCCGACCTTCCTGGAATGCATGTTTGGGTTTTCACTATCCTGGGACGGATATCGAGGATTTAATGCGAGCTTTGAGAGCTTTCGGTCTTACCGGTTTGGGGTTTCGAGTTTCGGTGATGCTAACAGATCCTTGGAATCAAATTGAGGGTTCCTACCGTACATCTTCGCCAAGTAGGCCAGGCTTGGTGCTGCCGGCGCACCCTGTGTGTGAGCCACGGCCGCGGCATAGCAAATTGCATCCGGCTGAACCTGCGAGCGATGCTAAGGTCTGAGCGAGGGTCCCCTAAGTCGGACGAAGGATACTTGATACTTCTGAGGTTTTGATTTTGACTAGGAACTATAGTGGTAACTAGCTCGTCGTCCAACACCGAAGCAAGCACTGCAAAAGTCCACGCCCCGCCACCGTTTCGAGTCTCGAAGCACTGGGGAGATCACTTAAGATTCGGCGGTCTTCTGTGGACCCTTGCCTGTTGCATAAAGGATCCTGCTATGTAGGGTTAAGCTGGGCTGCCGTAGTTGGTGATTTCCGACTTGTGTGTTTGGTCTGCGGGTATTACGGGCAACCAGGCTGAGCATTCCCTGCCTTTTGGTCGGGCATGTTGCGGATCAAGGCCATTGCTGCCTCCCACTCGGTGCCTCCATAACACCGGTACGCATGACAGTTTGAGAATATGTGGGACCCTGACTAAGTATGTTGACCTAAACCCGAAGTTACTGATAGGCCTCTAGGTTCTCCTGACTCCTGAGATCTTCAATGATGCACGTTAGGCTGTAGGGGTTGAGGCCTTAGGATTTAGGATGTAAGTGTAGGGTGTACGGCGTACGGTTCATTGCGGACAAAATTTCTGCTCGGTGTCTGTCGCAGGAAGCACGAAGTGCGAATGAGCTCCAAGCACTGCCCTGCACACCGTCAATCTTCAACTTTGAAGCCCAAAGTCTCCAACCCTGGAAGCTCGCCACAGGGGTGTCTGCATCAATGTATCACACAGCAGTTGCTGGAGATTTGCGTAACACTGAACAAATTTGATTTGGTAGGGTGGGTTTAGGATTCGGTGTTTGAGAGATGAGGGGCAATTACGATGTCAAAAACATCTTTGTCATGCGCTGTGGTCGCAAACACAGTGGTCTTGCTCGCATTGAAGTAGTGTCATGATTCGCAAAGCCCAAAGTCCAATGCGGACCGCAAAGGGAGTCTAGTACAAGGACGATCGGAAACCTACCCCAAACCCATTCAAGCTTCCCACAATATGAAGCCTGTAGCCTGCAACTGAAAAGCCTGACTAATTGTATGCTTGTTACGATAAACGTGTTCGTGGCGCGGAATCCCTGAGGGAATAATGATTCCAGTTATTCCGCCTCCTATTTCCTGAAGGCTTAACCTCTAACCCGCGCTGTTGTACCCAAGAAGATGCGCCTTTGGAGCAAGCCGAGATCACAGTAGTGCACCTAAGGTTAACGCATCATTCCCGACACCAGGAGTTAAGGTAGTTGATATTTTATGAGGCCCGTTAAGAGACTGAATTCTGATGGGGTTGGGTACGGCTTGAGGAAAGCATAGACACTTTTCCATTAGTGATTCGGTTCGTTGTGGGCCCTTAACCCTCTAAACTGCACAGTACTGTAGTGCTGCTTGGATTTCTAGCTGATTATTTCCCTAAACCATAAGATTGAAACCCCCAAACTCTGAACCCTGAAAAAACCAAAACCCTCGAACCAAACACGACCCCATTTCTGAAACTCCCATATGATACGGCATTAAGCCCCCAAACTCTTCACCCCAAGCACGAAGCCAACAAAAAGCATTGAACCGGGAACATCGGGCTACAAATGCAGATTCCCTTGCCTGAGTGTGGAACTTACAGGTGTTTCTTACGGCCACAAGTATATGAAACAACAAACGACAAGTGAGGGTGCGGTGAGCCCCCTCCCATTTGCTTGACTCTTAATTCGATTATCTTGGTATACTCCTACCGTTTTACAGCACCTTGGGACTGTAGGATGTAGCAGTAGCAACTGTAGCAGCAGCAGCAGCAGCAGCAGCAGCAGCAGCAGCAGCAGCAGCAGCAGCAGCAGCAGCAGCAGCAGTAGCAGTGGCAGAAGCCTTCTTAGCATCCATATGGCAGTGATGGTGGAAATCGTCAGAATGTGCCTTGGGTCGAAGATGCCTACTTTGTGTATTTGTTGTTATCGTTTCGTTATCAATCGAGACCACCACCTCCCCAACCAAAAACTGACTCATCTCAAACTTGGCCGACAGCTTGACTCGATCGTTAAATTATGTTGTCTTGTCGTTGCTGTGTAATTTGGCTTAGACGATAGACAGCTACCAGCGGAACAGAATGCCTGCCAGAGCAAGCCTGAACACCTACAGTGGCACAGATTCCCAAATAGAGAGGCCCAAGATCCCTACCATCACCAGAGAGGACAAAAACTGCTAGAAGCGGTGCAGCTTCCCTGCCCAAGCGGCACAGATTCCCTACTAGCTAAGGCCTAAACTGCTGCAAGCGACCGGCGCTAAGTTTACGAACATCTTCGTTATCGTTTTTCACTCTTATCGTTTCACAAGGAATTCGATTGCTCTCAGCTTAAAGACGCATCTACTTTAAAAATGCTCCCGGGGTTTCTGTAAGATCATCCCTCAAGTGCAGGATAAAGTATTCTGAACATGACGAGACATGAAACCTTGAAGCCGACACTCAATGCCCACAACTCCAACCAACCCTCAATCCCAAGCCCAAAGCACCGCCACCGGCCTCAGGTATGCCCATAGCACAGACACCTTCAAGCCGAAACCCATTTACACAATCAGCACGCCTCTAACGCTTTCAAGCCCGAACGCTCCAGCCCTAAACCTTCGTAGTTTGAAGAGAGAAAACCACAGAGCTCTGAAACCTGCAACAGTCCAGCCGAAGGGCAACTCAAGGGTCTGACCTGCAGCGCATGTTGACCTCATCTGGGTGTTGACCGTGCAGCACAGGGCCGTGAAAGGGTTGTGGATTCAGAGTTTAGGCATTTAACGTACTGGACTTCGGGTCAGGATTTGGGGCTCATGAAACCGGGCCGGGAGCAAGGCAACTCTTTAGTCTATGGTCTGGGCCTGCACTGCTGGCATCATTGCCGAACTCGAATTTGATGTGCAGCACTGTTTCTAAAACGAGTCCCAATATGTTGGCCGACGGTCTCCGTTTCTTCTACAATGACTGTTGCTACGATGTAGGAACTGCCATAATCTACATAATTCTTGGCAGGTAGACGTTTATGTGCAAGTTATGGCGACCCTGCAACCAAGTTTTTTTATGGTATCCAAAGATGAACTTAATGCACCCTTGCAACCCTGCCATAACTTTGTTGGTTGCACATCGTGTCAAAATGATCTAGCTTCTGACCACATCGCCCATATCAGCATGGTATCTATCGCACCATTATCGTCATGATCTGGTCATCGCCGCCAACCTTGACAGCAACTCACTTGTCATGATGGAAATGGTGCAAACCTTTACACAGCCCAATCGCCTGGCGAGGCTCCATCCACAACCGATCGTCAGCCAAATGCAGCTACTGAGATTTTTATGTAACCAGAACAGGGAAGCCATCAAAGGTTCTACAGATCCCAGTCCATGACTCTATGACGGTATCTTACCTTCGGTTCTGGAATAAGAGCTCAGTAGCAGCTCCCAGGGCTCCGGCGCCTCTTCCAACATGCACAAGGCCTACCCCCGGTCACCGGGAAAGTTCGGAAGATTCAGGGCTTTCTGAGCAGCGGGCTCATGCAGGTAGCTTAAACGGCTTAACGGATTAGCCCTTCGTAGCTACGGCCGTCAGCATCGAACAGCGCCAACGCAGCCCTTAAGCCACGTAGTTCTGCAGCCCCGGGTTGGAAAGGAGCGTAACAAGGACGGGACAAGACCCCACAGTCAAGCATGCTCAGGATGCCCATGAGTCCAGGCAGAGTTGGCTGCAACACGGGGCATTGGGCTCTGCAACCCTTTTTAGGACTCAATCCTATGAGGCCGAGTGAAAACTAAACCAAAAAGACCAGTCTAGCAACACTGGAAACCCGCACGTATAGCTGTAACAACCTGTAAAGAAGGGACTGCTGCCAAAGGTTCCCACAAAAGTTTTCTGTTTCACCACTCCCCAGTGACCCAGCCCCCTCCCTCCGCACCCCTCTCTCCCTCGTGTCTTGTTTGCGCCGAGGCAAGACGGGCTAGCTGACATCGTTCGTGAAGCTGATGCCAAAGCCTGAGATTGCTGGAACTGTGTCTTGTACTTCGTTGCAAAGCTTGATTCCCCTTCCAACATATGGGAGGTTGTATACGAGACCAGTGGGAGCTGTGATACGATTGCTATAGTAACGTCTATGGGACAATGCAGGGAATGTGCCACCTTTCGCGTGGGATTATTGCTCAGAGCCTCAGCATGAACACAATACTGAAATTAAAACACATTATGAAGCAAATGCGCTCATTCACTCAAGACCTCACCTGTGTGACCTACACCTTGCTTTCCGCAACAATGGACTTGCTTCAAGTACAGCCGGGGCGAGGCGGACGACGCGAAGCGTTAAAATTAGAGAATAAAAACGCACTCTTGAAAGGCTGCAAGACCCAACAGTCCGCGAGCCTCGACCCAACGAGCCTGCAGTCGCGGGATGAGGCTGTTGAACGACAGCCCTATGAGTGTTTGAGGGCTTGGGGTTTTGGGGTGAATTACCCGGCTCTAAAGCAAAGGGATAGCTCAGCACCACCAGAAATTGTGTTTAACATGACATGAAACTGTTGACAGAACGTGCAACATCTCGTGAAATACGGACACCTACTATTTACTCTCACAGCACGGTCACACAGTCCATATGACACCTGGTCACTTCGAGCCCTGAGAAAACAACATGCAGGCCAAGCATTTTAGAACCACTGATCCCAACAAGCTCCGTGTAAACTGGCCCCCGCCTGCTGCTCGCAGGCCTGAGCCGCCAAAGCAAAGCAGCCTGTTGAGGTTCAGGGTGTTAAGGCTTTGCGGGGCATTGAATTAGGGCTCAAGTGCAAAATCTTCTTAGTAGGTACTTAGGTTTAGCGAGCAGTAAGCGTAGCTGAAGACTTAAGGGACCATAGGATCAGGGCTCACACCAGACGATGGCATTAATTATACTTATTGCAGTGCTAATGTGGTTCCTATGTTTGCTTTCGCTCGGCTGTGTGGAGTGTCACCCCCGGCAGTGACAAAATCCCCTGGACTTCTATAGTCCAACGTGTCCTCCACACGCACCCTTGTCAACAAAGATAAGATTAAAACCAGAATTCAGAAATCTCCCAAATGGTCTGCTTACAAGCTCCTAGCAACCGAGAAGCTCGGAGTAGGCTGAAGCTGTGCCTGTGGAAGCCTGCGGAAAGCATCTCAGGGTCCAGCGCTGTAGGGTTTGGGCGTTTGGAGTCTTAGGGCTGTTGGGCCTATGGGACTTCGGAGCTCGGGTACTTCCAGTAACTTTCTCTGCTGAGTACGGCTTAGAGCTTGAGTGAAGCTTTGGGTCGGGAGCTCCGGTGCAAAGTTAGATTTCTACTCACAAGACCCTTAAACCCCAAAACCCCGAGAGCGTGGAAAGAGAGAGGAACAGGGAGAGAGAAACGGAGGGACAAAGAGAGAGAGAGAGAAAGACACACAGAGAGGGAACGGACCATCGAGCGATATCTTCTGATGTTGACAGTACGTGCTTCAAGCTCTTCAATTATCAGGCTCTCGTGCGTCTTCGTCGCAAGCTTTGTCAGGATTGGAGCACGAAAGGTCTTGGGCCCTGGACTGCTTGAACGATGTGATGTCATGCCATATGGCTCTGGGCTTTAGATTGCCTGTGTAGGGGTAAGGCTGCTAGGGGTCAGGTGTAACCGTGTTTCGTCTTGTCTCTTGCTAGACAGGTTTCCAGGTATGTCTCTCCCACCCCCTCTCTCTCTTCTTCCACTGGGCGTGAGGGACGGGTTGGGTCCCTCGGCCACATGGGCCCCCCACGTGTTATGGGGCTTTGAAGGGATTCTCTCTCTCTCTCTCTCTCTCTCTCTCCGTCTCTCTTTGTTGACCACCTGCGCCCCCCAGGCAGGGACCTCTCATGGAGCAGTTCCAGAGCCACCAGCCACTGCCCACCAGCTGCACCTGCTTGAAGCTTGCATGACGGCGGCGGGCAAGGACCTTGAGGCCTTTTTCGGGTGCAGGGCGGTAAGCCCTCCAAGCATCAAAACGATATCGAGGAATGTATGGCCGGGCAACTCGCAATGCTCAAAGAAAACAGTGATAGGCTTGAGCTTATCAAGGATCAAGCTGAGACAAGGATGCCAATCGGTATTGCTATCCTTAACCTTCACCCAAACAATTACCTGCAGTTTAAACGCTTCGGATGGAGTTCGGAGGGCCTTTGCGCCTCAATCGTTAATCTCCGACCAACCGTCCAAAGCTGTCACAAAGCCTGAAAGCCCTGGAGCTAAACCCGAAAGCCATATGATCTCATACGCAAAGCACAAAATCCTAAACCTGAAAGCCCTGTAGACTGGAGCCTAAATAGCCCCATACACAACCAATAAGAACCTGTTCTTATCCGCACTAAGGCCCACACAGGCGCTCAAGGTCACATGAAAAGCAGCAAGGTCTGGCCTGGAATGCAAGTATGCTGGGGGTGTCTGAAACTTACGGGCCTTTGCTTTACGGTTTGGTGTTATTGCGTTCTATATTCATGGTTCTGCAGAGTGTTGATGGGCTTCTCGATTTTATCGGTACCTCGTCTAGGAACCCTGATAGTGAGGATCCTGCCGTCTCACATATATATATATATATATATATATACATACGTGCCCATATATGAATATACACCCTGCACTGCCGCACACCTTCCACGGCGGTTTCCGCCGTAGTTGTTCTTGCGGTGTAGGCGCAATTGGATGGTAACGAGATGGAGCCACCGTAAGCTTTGACTTCTGAAGCTCAAGTTGGGCTGGTTTCGCTTCAGAGCCAAAGAATTCTCGCGGCAGCCCCTCTCATTCAAGGCTTCCATTTTGGTTTGAACAATTTAGTAACCCATTTAATTCAACCGCAAGGTAAGGTGCAGACTTGAGCTTGTCAGCCAGCAGGTCCCGAAAAAGGCAAAGCACCTTTCGCGGCAAAGCGTCACGCAAAAAACACCACAGATACACGCACACCCCGAAAATTTGACCCAACACCGGTAACCTCGAAGCCTACAGCTCTAAACCCGCACTGATACACATGATCCCGAAGAAAGAGAATTAACAACCTTGCAAGCTCGACAGCCGACTGTTTAGGATTCCAGACGATATAAACTGTTCATGTTCCACTCATAATAAAGAAGTCTGTCTGGTGGGGTCCTCCTTAAATTTGAAGCCTAAACCGGAAGTTTCTGTTGCAGACAGTCTGAAGCCTTGCTCACTGCGGATTAGATCGAAAGCTGTTGGGCGAATGTGGGGCAAATCATGTAACCAAACCTAGCTCCAGCATGACATTCTAGACAAAGCTTGCATGCACAGATCGAAGCTACTGCACATTGTATGCTCCCAAGAAGCTATGAACAACGGAGGCACAACTGCCGCATGTGGCATGCGTTGGTACGTCTGTGGGTAGTCAGCTATCCGCTGATGCCCGCATAGCGTCCCGATACACGTATGCATGAATGCACACATACAGGGGAGATTCCGAATCCTGCAAGGGCAAGAGTATGATAAGCAGTCATAAGTTTGTTTATGCTGATGAGCCTAAAGATGATGCTGGTGATGAGGGTTATCGTGATGCTGTTGCTGAGGATGGTGATGTCGATGCTGCTGAATATGGACAACCCTGGGGATGAAGTTTGTGATAGCTTTCGGTCACCTTGGGTAGCGACAACAAGAAGTTCAAACGGCAATGCCAACACAAAACGACAAGAGACAGCACGAGACAAATAGTAGTAAGTAGCGAGAACCACGAAAGCTCCTGCTATTGCTGAATATGGAAGCCTTGCATTGCAGAACCTCAGGAGTAGATGGCGCCTCTTGCCATCGACCTGCACGTGCGCAAGCTTCGGCGGTAGCCGTGTGCACGACGATGTTGGGGCTGGACCTCGGGTGCAGGCTCTTAGGGATTAGGTCCTAAGTGTGTCAGGCTTATAGGCTTCAAGGTGCTAGGGTGTGGGGCAAAACAAAATGTAAACCCTTAACAGCGGCTCAGCTTTGCATTGCGGATCCCAAGCTTCTGCGAGAACTTGAGCCCGAGTATTGAAAGCAAATCGTCACTTTGCGCGATGCAGGGCTCGGGTTGAAGGACGTCCGTGTTTAGGCTGAAAGGCTTTACGTGTTTTGAGCAGGTGTCGGGTTCATATTTCAGGATTTTGGACGGAAGCTAAAGAGGGTCCCGAGACGTAAGTCCGGCACATCTGCTGCAGCATGTGGATGGCCTGCGTCCACTGAGCACCTTGACACATTGAGCCCAGTTCGCGTTCAATTGCGGGCTCCAGCATGTACACCATGCGGAGACCGGTCTTGTCCCTGACAAACAGCAGCGAACCACGCTGGCACGGAAGTTTCAGAAAATAAGGGACCCGTAATGCAGACCACAACTGGAAGGATATGATAAGGATCCCTTGAAAAAGGGTCCCGTCAATATCAAGAAACTCCCACACCACTGGACCATCCCTACACCCCCTAACCTCGCACCCTAACCATCACACCCAAACCTGCCAAAACAAACCCAAAAGACCCAACTGCCCACAATCCCTTTACCCGAATCTCTAGCCAAAAAACCTGTGACCGACCAAAAGACGATAGCATCTCCAGACTAATATGGATAATCGGCAAGACAATTCATTACGGCATTCCCTTCGGCCATCCACATACTACCCGCCGGAGCCGCTGCAAAGACACCTCGAGCCAGCGAAGTCATCAAAGCAGACTGTGTTCGATTGCCGGCATCGGCGCCTCCTGTGGCGGGGCTTTTCGATTTCGGGCCAGAACATGGTGTTGTACGTAGGGTTGACATGGCTTCAGCATGCCGCGGAATCGTGTCCAAAGACGGTGCACCTCAAAGGGTTGAGAGGGGTTCAGGCATGACTCTGGAAACAAACTGAGAAAAGCTCACACTACAAGGCATCACGGTGCATGCAGCAGTTCTGCCCGTGACATCCCGCGATATCCTACATGGACCTCCCTGAGCTTTGGGCAGTACATGTGAGGTATACGTGAGCACCTTCGTCCCTACCGGCAGCGTCTGGTTGCGGGCATCCCGGATCCTCTAGACTCTAGACCACAGTCACATGCAATCCTCAAGGCAGCTTTAGCAGTCACCCCTTCCCCCATCTCTATCTCAGGATAGAGGTTCCACATCACAAAGCCCTCTCGCCATTCCGAAACCGCATCATCTGCTTTAGAAGAGGAAAGTGCATGAAACACAAACACACCGACGGAACGTAAAAAATAACACAAATCCCCATTTAAAGCGCACCATGTTCAACAACCCCGAAAGCTTAGTAAACCCCTATGAACGCCACCGGCCCTCTTTCCCAAATCACGCTCGAGAGATGACCTTCGACAAGCTCTGCATAGAGCTGGAGTGCTGATTCCTGGCCAGCGTCGCGGGTTTGGGTGGGACCTAGTCCCTAAACCCTAAACTCTCATTGGGGCAGTTGGGGGTTGGGGCTAGTTAGAAGTCCGTGAGTGCTTCAGTTGAGATCCGAAGTTTCTCTGAGAGTGTGGCTTCGGGGAACCAAACCAAAGATGACTTGAATGAGACTATAGGGCTTTGAACCATGCTATACCATACAAGCACACTAGACTGTACTACAAGTGTTGCGACTGCAAGGGTGTAACGTTACTCTGGCCATGGCTCTTGAAGGAAGGGTTCAGGGGTCGCTCGTAGGGCTTAGGGGGTAATAATGGCTTCAACAAGCGACAACAAAAGCGGCAGTAAGAACGACAACAACGGTAGCAAAAACACAAGCAAGAGCTACGGGGAACGGCAACGCAACCGCAACAACAGCAGCAACAAATACACAGCAACAGCAACAAAAAGAGAAATAATCAAACCGCAACAGAGATGTACAACCTTCCACAGAGTTGAGAAGTGATGCGAACAACAGCTGCAGACTTTTCAAGATCGCAGGATCACTACATGCCGGCAGGACCCACCTCTCGCCTCTGCCACAAGCACCGATGGCACTGTTCATGGCAATGGCAGTGGCCTGGAAGTCAGAGCCTTTTTCGCGCTTGCCACACGTGCTCAGGTGTTTGGCATCTGCGACATCAGATCACTCCTGGGTCCCGGGTGGTGCGGCCCAGGGTGCCAGTTCAAGCAAGTTGTGCATTTCCCGCGACCTTTTTGAGGAAACACAGTTGCATATGACGAACTCTGGCACAAGTTCCAACACTTCAACGCACACCCCAAGACCAAAAGCCGGGGCCTGTGCCGATGGGACTGAAGGACTTGATTCTCAGAAGGCAAGAACTAACGTCCAGGGCCTGATTGTGGACTAACCGTCTACAATACGAGCTTGGGACTCGCTTCGTGGGCAACTGGAGAAGGTACAGATGGCAATTCCAGCACACCCCTGAAGAACCTGTATCTGCAGCCGGCGCATATGCTGAAGCAGCTGTAACGCCTGCACGGCGGAGGCATCAGGTCTTTCGAGACGGGATGGACAAACTGATTTATCCAGAGGATGAGCAGGCTTTATCTGTCTCGCGCATGCTGTAGATTGGAGAACACCCTCCCCTTCCACCAAGACTACCGCTACCACTGCCACCGCCACTGATGCAATACTACCACTCCTGCTGCTGCTACTACTAATTATGATCACTACTAGTACTAGTACTACTACT